CTTTTTTATAAACGATTTATATTGTTATGCACCTGCAAAGTCATTTTTTTCAATTTGTAGACTCGAAATCTTACGGATAATATTTTCCATCACCTAACTGCTGCGAGTGAAACTAACCAAAAAGTTGATATAAAAAGACCATTAAACAAATTACGAGAGTTACCACTACCTCCAATATCATCAATGCAAACTCTTCTTCAAAACTCACCTCATCCCCTTCCTCATGTAGTGTTAAGTGATTATGATCGTCCACCTTTCCTTAATAAACATTTTGAGAGTTTTCTTGATACTAGATGGCCTCCATTGGATAATCCTACTGCAGATACAATCCTTCTCGATTTTGCCAACACTCTAGCAGATGCTTTGCATAGAGTAAGTTTTTAACTAGTTCGGCAAAATTCTTATTTATTTTTCATCAAGTAATCCTAAAACTTTTAATGTCTACACAGTTTACTTTCAAGTTAGATATTCACTAAAAATCTTAAAGATTTCTTAGGGAAAAATTCCGTAGTCATAATACTACCCGTGAAACTCCATAATGTTGCAAAATACTGTTATAACTGCAAATTAATTTAGGAGCAAGTATAACTTGTGAAACTTAACAGGAACTAAGTGATTAGCACAGAATATGAATTCAGCTGTCATAGAAATTAAAAGCGAATGTTAATTTTTAATGATCTAACTGAATAAGTCAGGAGAACAATGTATTGTTGACTATTAATTATAGTTTTCCCATAATAATAATTCTACCTGAAACTACGCTTTACTGGGGAATACGATTTGTTGAACGATTTGATATATTATAGTAAATATAGATTACAAACTCCTATGAATTGTTTACTTAACAAACGTTTTGTTAACCACCTTTACTCGCTAGTTGCATAATGTATCTAATAAATAGAATCTCATTAACTTATCAACTAAAGCGTATAAAATATCTTTTGACCTCGTACTTTATCCGGCGAATCGAAATGTACAAATGGTTAGTGTGCTTAGTTTTTTTCAGAGAAATTCATTTCGTCCGTTAAAAATAGATCGTCTGTATGTGCGCACATAAAAGCTTACTACAGAGAGTGATGCAGAACAAATGAATACATGTATCTAGTCATTATTTGTCACCATAGTCAACTGATTTAAACAAAAGTTATAAATTTTTTGGATACCTTATTCAAAGTTTCGTACACTATACGATGATCCATTCAACGTGTAAACACTAAGAACAATTTAGCATGAGGTAATAAGCCTTATAAATCAGTAGCTAAAAAATGAGTATGTGACCAAATAATCTGCTCTACAAACTGTAAAGTGCTCTTAACAAGACGTTACTAAGGAATAATGTGGGAATGTGCTGGCGTTCTTGTATATACAGTCGAGTTTTTTATTTATGATATGTAGATCTCTGTTTAGTGGTAAAACATACACATTGCCAACTTTGTTTTATAAAAGGTGAAAAAGTACATCATTTTTAATGATCCTTTTCTTAATTTATGGCCACTTTTCTTGAAATTATGTCGGGAATTACTCCAACTTCATACAGCACTTCATAAATTCATAACCTCATGTTTATATTTAACCTACGATCAAACCATTCGGTAATTTTACCCATACTTCATGCAAAAATGGGATTTGTTAAGTGAAGAAATGCTTTATTAAGATATTTTTGTTTCAAGTTGGTTTCAACTTGGATTTGATTTTGTTAGTAGCTCATAATCTGTTTACATAGAGTTGAATGTGCTGACTAAACATCAAACTACAAGCCACGGTTATGGTTCGAAATCTAAGGATATTATTTAGTCCCTCAAGACTGAAGGTAAGTCGGTATCCGAACATGCCACTCACTAGTAAAATTTAAGTATCATAGATACAGTTGAACACAATTTAGATAAACTCAGTACATCTAACGTGTTAATCTAAGATATATTAGTAGCGTTTATATCTTAGTTCTAAAATTTTACAACCACATATAGTCTTCTCTTTCTCCATAATCTTACTGAAAGTATTTGAAAAATCGTTTTAGTTTATATATTGTCTGGAGAAACATAGAAATTAGGCATTGTAGTTACATATATGATTTTTCGAAAATTGTTTTTTTCCAGATAGTTTCTGCAAATCATGAACCTATTTCATCCAGCATTGCTTATCCAAAACCTAGTGACATTATGGAATGTTTCTCAACTAATCTGGGATGTGACCTTTTCAAAATGGTAATATTTTTGTGTGTAGTTTGGATAGATTAATGTTTGCATCGTTTTCGAGCGACTTTTAACTATCATTAGCTCAGTGGATTTAAATGTTTCTCTGATCGGGAAGATAAAAGTTGTAATACTCCAGACATCTAATTTACTTTTTCGATTGACAAATATGTTAGTTCCTTTTAGATTTTATCATCTGATGTAATAATTAAAGTGTATTGATTTTGGTTTAATAACCAGAAGTTAGTTTCGTGGTAATGACAAAGTTATGCCACTTAAACGGGTAGAACATAAAGATCACAAGACATGGAAACTGACTGTTTTGTGTAAAGTGATGAACTCAGTACCTGTAGATTTTGTTGCTATTTACAGCCGAAAAGCTCACGTTATGTTCGGTATAAAAAAGTGCTTAACGTTGAAAAGCTGAAGACTTGATACTTGTTGATGTGAACCACAGTCAGTTTGTCGATTTTTCTATTAATTATTTTCTGACCGAAATTTCCGAATATTATCCACTGGATTGTACAACATTATATAAGCAAATTAGATGAGAATTCTAGGATAATGCATGGATACGCACTTTTACCGTATCTTGAAATATCACTTATTTCTTTTAGGTGATCTAAATTCCACGAACTTTTTGTGAATATTAGTTTTAAGCAGAAGCACTTACAGCAATGATCAATAACAACTATTAAGGAGTTTAACACATTTACCATTTGTGCTTAATGACATTTCCCGTAGTATATCTTACATACAAAAACTTAAGTACACTCATGCTTAACTTTTTAGACACAAAACGATTAAATTATCTACATACTAAGTCATTGAGATTTAAGTTTCTTACTGATATGTCGAAAACTACTAAGTTTAAAAAGCAAACCAGTACCTTGCTTCAGTCTTTCTATAATACGCCTCTATAACTAATAATTACATGTAAATACGACTAAACTATATACTTCTTTACACTACTGAGGGTTAAAGAACCTACTACTTATATAATACTCAGTGTTGACTTGAACAGTTAATATATATTATCAGGTATATATCCTGGTGTAACTCAGGCATAGACCGTTCATTGTTTATCCCCATAATTACGTTCTTTGCCGTAAAGAACCTTGAGTATTTCTATACAAACGTACATACAAATTTAAGATTCTCAAGGACATTACTACATACCTAGCTAAACCACGGGAGAAACATGTCAACATTCTACCTAACAGAAATATTCAAAACCTCAAAATAAACTCGCAGCAAATATTTGACTTGCTGATAAGTTCATTTTGTTTGAGCTAAGGTCTCATGACAGATTACTAAGGGTGAACAATTAATCTTGATTACCTACTACGACAAACTTGAGGGATACATACCAGATATATAATCCCACCCACAATCTGAAGAAACTTTCAACTGATCAACGCTTCTGAATACTTGGCACTTTCCCACCATGCCTTTTAACCATAGTAACGATCTAAAATCATTGTCTGGGTTAAATTGACTATAGTAATCATTCCAGGGCAAAACCATACTGTCCAATAAGTTTGTAAGAAGTTTCTTCTGATTGTATTCCCTCGTTACTAGAATTTTTTCCTTGATAAGTTATTTTATATTATGTTAGTTTGAACCCACTTCCATTTAGTTTGCTCACTTGCAGAATTTCTCCATACCCATTCTCATATTTCCAACTGATCGTGTGTTTTTGTTTACAGTATCTCAGTCCTGTGGACTATAAGTATGTACAAATGTTAAAAACACCTGTACCTGCACAAACCTACCTGCCATTGGGCCTACATGAGATAAAGATATCACATCTAGTCAGTATTCTGTTAATAGGACTAACTGGGGAACGGACTTCAACACCAGCATGTCCACCTTTTGATAAACGGGGTCCTTACACATATTGGGTGGGATGTAAGTAAATAATTTTTGTTTTCCTGTTTAGTATTTACTGAGAGTTCATGTTTAGATATATCTCGTGTCCAACATATAAGATAAGAACCTTGGAACTAAAACTCGTTTCAATTGTTTTATTATACTCAAGAACTGGTTTGAAACCACTTCAGTTACCCACTACATGCATGTAGTTACTATTATCTAATTACACTCGTACTTCTACTCTAATTGTCAGTTTTTATATTAGTGATATGTAAGGTCAATTTTTAGTTGTTATTACAAGCCATGATGTCCCGTCATGTTTTTTGCTGTATTTAGTTATAGCACATCATTTTGATTACGTTAGCTACTAACAACTTACCCGTTAATTCAAAGGAAAGATATTAAACGCTAGATATATTCATGTTTACACTTGACTCATCTCATCAATTTCCATAAATATAACTGGTACAAAGAATGCCTGTCGCGCATATTTTGGATATGCATTCTGATTGCTCAAACAGTTACAGGTGTTCCCTTTCAGTAATCCCACTCTCTTCTTTTTGTACAAAAAAAACAGATTTCAACGGCTCTGAACAATGTTACTTCACACGCATGGACATAACATCACAATTTTTGATGATGGAAAACGAAAAACTCAAAGCCCCGGCCTGGATGCGTAGTCGCGAACATTCTGAAAGGTTCTTGCGCTGGTATCGCGGTGCATCCCCAACGGTTGATGGATTCAGTGTTGCGCTAGGGATTTTCCTCATGACCCTCACACTTCTCATAGCTCTTTACATCAAGGAGGTCATTAATAAGAAAATAATACAAATACCTGCACAAATGGAAATTTTATATACATCTGACAACGAAAATCGTTTCGCACCTACATAAAAATTTTCTGAAAAAGATGTACATACAGAATATATTCTTTTAGACAAATTTCACTTTCTTCGCAGCATTTGATGGGTGTAGAGCACTTCGTTCTTGAGCAACCTTTTGAGCTTTTTCAACCAGACCAGTCAGTTGGCCGTTTTCACCCAGCATCTTGAGAAGCTCCACGATAAGTGGCAAATAGTTGTGTCGACGACGAATATTTTCTGCGCGATACGCTGCAATTTTCTTCTTTTCACTGGCGATATTGTTCATTAGTTCTGTTATGTAGACAGATTCTGGCTACAAAGTAAGCGTAGTAACATGACAGGATTCATTACCATTATGATATAACTAAGCCTCACATTGTAAAGAGCTAATATGTACCAAATATAGATTGTATTGACCAATACAACGGTATCTAAGTCAAGTAATGGTATCACAGTTTAAAATCTTTCTGAAGTTTCGAGTTTTACAAACGTTACATGAGTAAGTCATACAAATAATATTTTACCCAAACCCTGATGAAGGGTTCAAATATGATTAAAAGCTAGTATAAATGCTTGTCATTCACATCTCGTACACTTGATGCAGAATCTCAATAGGAGCTGGAACGTTATACGTACCTAGAAACATCATTGGTAAACAAGGCGAGCCCGATGCATGCATCCAGTGGCAACACCATGTTAGTAACCAGAGGTTCGACAACGTGTGTTTGGGCACAACTAAAACACCGACTTTAGTGGCTTGCACATATACTACGAAAATCATTTCAGCGACTTCCACATTGTGTATTATTTGCGGACACTGAGACTGGTTGTAAAAGGTGGAGAGGTGGTCAGTGTATGACAGTCAGTCATCAACAACGTAAAACAAGGTACGTATGTACATCAGTTCAAGTTGCCATACCACATTAGCACAGAGATACAATTGTCAATTCAAATCCCGTAGTGGTAGAGGTAGTAAAATTATAGGCTGTAATCATAAAAATTAGGGTTTGAAGATGTTATGCAATGATTATAATCCAGTGAAATAAATTTCGGAAGAGAAAATATAGGACATGAAGAATTCAGAAGATTAGAATTTGAGAGAACACAAAGAGTGGATGCACCTGCGCCATTGCCAACGATTTTGAGCCATGTCATTCAAGGTCTCTAACCATCGGTTGCTATCGTCTCGCGGATTCCAACCAGGTAGTCTACACCTACCAACATGACTCAGTTCACTTGTCAGTGACTTCATGGATTTGTGCTATGTCTAGATTTGGCCGCCCCTAGTTTTCTTCCAACCTACTCCTACACCATGAAACATCGCACGTCGGGGCAGTCGGTGGTTGGGTATATGTAACACGTTTTCTAGCCGTCTCAACTGATGGAGTTTCACTACTTCATCAGTTGATTTGTCATCCTTACCTAGTACCCGTTTCCTAACATCTGCGTTACTTACTCGATGGTCCCAGGATATGCAAGCAATATTCCGAAGACACCTGTGATCAAATACTAGTAACCTACAAATATCCTCTACTCTTACCGGCCATGTTTCACTGCCATAAAGTAAGACGGAACGAACTGCTGCGCAGTAAACCCGTTCTTTGGTTGATAGACGGATATCTCGCCTACGCCATAAATGACGCAAGTTGGCAAAAGCTAGTCGAGCCTTCTGTATCCGTGTTGGAATTCGGTCACACACAAGGCCACAAAGCCTGACGGGACTACCAGGATAAGTGAAGCAGTTGAAACGCTCAACTACTTCACTCCCTATCATTAGTTCGGGTGTCCATGCAAACCAATCCTGAAGCAACATCTTGCATTCCGAGGGAGAGAATCGCATCTCGAACATGCTTGCATTGTTGCTTAGAGTGGTCAGAAGACTGCATTTTGTCAGTGTCTTCACCAAATAGAACCATGCCATCGGCATATTCTAGGTCAAAAAGTGAAAATCCCGGTAGAAGTTCAATTCCTGGAAGTTTAGATGAGGAAAGTGTAATCTTTAAAAGCACGTCAACGACAAAGTTAAACAAGAATGGAGAGAGTGGACAGCGCTGACGAACATCACTTGAGGTAATCAATTCTGATGACAGGTCTCCATAAGTTCTCACTCAAACATTTGTGTTCGAGTAGATAGCCTTTATAAGGTTAATGTACTTCTTTGGTACTCCTTTCAGTTACAAACACTGCCATAGAACCTCATGATCAACAGAGTCGAATGCCACCTTGAGATTGGGAAATACTATTATTGTGGGATGTCTGAATGTGTATCTATGTTCTAGGATCTGACGTAATGTGGATATCTCGTCTATACAGCCACGTCCAGATCGGGGACCAGCCTGGTTTTCTCTAGTCTGCTCTTTACGAGCTTTACTTAGGCGTCGAAGTATTATTGAAGCTAATGTTTTAGACACTATATTAGTCAATCTGATTCCTCTGTGATGTTCAGAAGATAACTTTTGTCCTTTCTTATAGACTGGTACAATCAGTGGTTGAGACCAGTCAGATGGCGTCCTTCCTCTGCATCCCAAGCCTGGACTCAGATTGATCACATCGCGATCAGCTACCGCTGGCGTGGTTGTGTACAAGATTGCCGCTCCTTTTGGAGTACCTATCTGGACTCTGACCATGCCTTGGTCTGCGCCAATCTTGCCTTACTTTTCAGTGGACAACGAAGTGACCGCCAGCAAAGAATTGATATTAGCAAGCTGGTTGCAACTTCTGTTGCAAATAAGTATCGAACCGAGCTAGCCTCTAGGCTAGCTACCACTCCACCGAAAAGTATAGATGAGCATTGGTTTCAATTGCATGACGCCATGAAAGTGGCGGGAACAGTCAGTTGTGGGTTTGCGAAACGTCCAGCTTTTAAGCACTGGGTTTCTTCTGGTTCCTTACAACTCATTGAAGCCCGTCGGTCTACTCCGGGTGACCGTGAGTTTGACCATAAACGAAGGATATTACGTAAGGAAATTGGGCAAAGCTTGCGTAAGGACCGAGAAGCCTTGTGGTCGAAGCGTGCTAATGAGCTAGAAGCAGCACCTGCATCTGGTAACTACCGGAAGCTCTTCCAGCTCATCCGAGCCACTGGCAACAAGAAGTCTGGTGTGAGTGAAACAATCTGCGAGGATGATGGGATGCCAATCGCTAACATCCATCGACGTCTTGGACGATGGGCAGAATTTTTCGAAGGGCAGTTCAACTGGCCTGCTGCTCCGGCAACATCGGTCAGACTGTCCTGCCCTCCATGGCCGGTGACGACTGATCCACCAAACGAGGAGGAAGTCCGCAAGGAACTCCAACTCTTGAAGCGTTACAAATCACCTGGCCCAGATGACTTACCTCCGGCTCTTTTTAAAGATGATGGTGACTTTTTGACTAAGGAATTGACGACGTTGTTTACAAAGGTTTGGGAACTAGAGAGTGTACCAACGTCATGGAATGAGTCGATAGTTGTCCCTATCTTTAAAAAGGGTTCACGTCGTTCCTGCAACAACTATCGGGGGATAAGTCTACTTCCGATTGCGTCCAAGCTATTGGCTTCCATCATACTTCGTAGGTTGTTCAAAACCCGAGAAAGATTGACTCGCGAGGAGCAGGCTGGGTTTCGTTCTGGTCGAGGATGTATTGATCATATCTTCACCCTCCGCTAAATGTTAGAACACCGCCATACTTATCAAAGGCCAACAATCGTAGTGTTTCTTGACATCAGGGCTGCCTTCGATTCGTTGGACAGGACTGTTCTCTGGGATTGCCTATTAGAGAAGGGTATACCTGAGAAGTTTATTAACATCCTAAAAGCTCTATATACAAACACCTCAGGCAGAGTGAGGGCATACAACCACCTCTCTCCATTGTTCCATTCGAGTAGTGGGGTTAGGCAGGGTTGCCCAATCTCACCATTCCTCTTCAACTTTGCCATCGATGACATTCTGGAAACAGCTCTGATGAATGTAAGTAATGGTGGTGTGGATCTGTTGCCTGGAGAAAGACTTCTCGACCTTGAGTATGCGGACGATATTGTCTTACTGTGCGATAATGCCCAAGGCATGCAATCCGCACTTAATCAGTTGGCAATCAGTGTCCGTAGGTATGGTATGTGCTTCGTACCTTCGAAGTGCAAAGTACTTCTACAAGACTGGCAGGATTCTAATCCTGTACTCACCCTGGATGGTGAGCAGATAGAAGTAGTCGAGAAGTTCGTGTATCTGGGCAGCTGCATAAGTGCTGGTGGGGGTGTGAGTGATGAGATTAGTGCACGTATGGTGAAAGCCCGAGTGACTTATGCCAATCTGGGCCACCTTTGGCGCCTTCGTGATGTTAGTCTGGCTGTAAAATGTCGGATCTACAACGCGTCGGTGAGAGCAGTTTTGCTCTATGCTTGTGAAACCTGGTCTCTCCGAGTTGAGGATGTTAGAAGACTCTCTGTGTTCGATCATCGTTGTCTCCGAAGGATTGCTGACATCCAGTGGCAATACCATGTCAGTAATGCAGAGGTTCGGCATCGTGTGTTCGGGCACAGAGATGATAATGCAATTGGTGTCACCATCTTGAAACACCGACTTCGGTGGCTTGGACATGTTTTACGAATGTCGTCCCAGAGAATTCCACGCCGTGCATTATTTGCCGACTCTGGGACTGGTTGGAAAAAGCGGAGAGGTGGTCAGTGTATGACATGGTGTCTTAGCATGAAAGAAAGCTGCAAAGGACTGGCTTCTGTCGGTCCTTCACGACTCCCTGGTTGGGGTCCGAGAGACGGTACTACACAGTGGCTAGAGACGTTGTCAGATATGGCTCAGAATAGAAGCCAGTGGCGATCCTGCTGTAACCTTCTTTTACTTTATTCATAAAAAAGTGGTTGTGTCTTCCTTAACTGAAAGATTTCTTCCGACTGTACCTTTGCGTTCCCTGATTACTAGCACATTACCTTACACCAATCTCTTCGTTATTGTTCTCTCTTTTTTTTGTTGCGCTCCTTCGCTTTTTTTTCTTTGTATTCCTCTCGAATTTTCATTGTTTTGTGTGGCGCATATATATTGGCGCTCTCTTGTACCAATATTCATGTGTCCAAATAAATAATAATAAATAAATCAGATGGGATTACGTCCAGTTCCCGAATTCTACCTAAGACCCTAGTTAATCTCACTGCTAATACTGGACCACCATCCTTAAAGATCTCAGAAGTAAACTTGTCAGGGCCTGCTGCTCTTTCACGCTTTAGATTTCCTATAACTTTTTCAACTTCGTAAGGAGTCGGAGGACCTACATTAACTTGCCATTCAGGTTGACTGGAGATCGTGGGAAACCGAAGTGTGGCTGAAAGTCAGTTGAACTGATTCCTAAAGTGTTCTGCCTATCGATCCAATCTCCTGGATTCAGAATGTATAATATGTCCATTTTTCTCTGAGAGTGTTTCGCTAACGGTCGGGTTCCTAATACCGGTTTCCTTAACAAGTCTGAACAATTGTCTGCTATTACCTATTGCCGCTGCCTTTTCCATCTCTCTTGCTTTCGCTACCCACCACTGTTCGCGATCATTGCGTAGACTTCTTATCAGCTTGCGCTTAAGCTGACTCCGCTCTTCGTTATGTTCAGAGCCAGGTGGGATGAGTTTTCGAGCATCTATCAGTGCGGTAGATGCTGCTGAGATCCAGTGTTGCTCCCTAACCTTCTGGTTTACCTTATTAGCAGATATCACTGCTGTTTCCACAGCTTTCCGGATATCATTCCATGCTGCCTCGGGGTGGGCATCACATACATGGATGCCTAGCTGTTTTCCTAGTTGTTTCTGAAATATATTCTTAGCTTGACTATCATTAAGTAGGACCCTAAGAGGTTTCCTTGGAGTGTCTTTCCTACGTCCAGTAAGATGCTGACAAATACGCGCTCGCACTAAAGCATGATCTGAATCTAAGCATGTGCTCCAGAATGAGCGACAGTCTTCTATCGAGCCCCTCCATCGGTGGCTGATAGCGATGTGGTCCGGATGGGTCCAACGTTGGGACGAATTCGGGTGTCTTCATGTCAAAAGATGTTTTTCCTTATGCTTAAAGCTAGTATTTGCAAGAAGCAGGCGGTTATCTGAGCATAGGTGCAACAGACGGTCGCCATTATCTGTTCTTTGAGCCGCGACACCATAAGATCCACCCAGGTGTCTTTCCCTTTCGCTTAGTTTACCTACTTGAGCATTAAAGTCACCGGCCACTATTACTACATCAGAGTGCCTGAACCTTTTGGAGAAGGTCAGAAAGCTTTCTATAAAACTCATCTTTTACATCATCTGAACTGCAGTCAGTGGGAGAGTAGGCAACGACGAGTGTTCCTATCTTTCCGAGTCTTTACTGCCCCGTTTAGTCGGACAGCTCACAAGCGACTGTCTACTGGGATCCAGTCTAAGAAAGCTAGTTCTGCCCTATGACTTAATGCTATACCTACACTGGCGAGGCCATGGGAAGCAGAATCAGGGCTTCCAGATACACGAAGTGTGAACCGATGTGGGTCTTTATTTTGATATGGTGAGGTCAAATGAATGACGCTACTCGGATCCTGTATGCGTGTTTGGGAGATGCAGCACAAATCGATGGCGGAAGATTCTAAAGTCCTAGCTAGGGAAGTATGTTGTCCTATTTGTTAGTGTTCAGACGTTTAAAGCTCTTACTTGTAGTTTAGAGCATGGTTTCAGTAAAGCAGGAATAACGTTCCGCGTACTCAGATCGTTTGATCTGGCAGCGCGAGGTGATAGAGGAATGTGAGAAGGATTAGTCGCAAAGATAAGTTATTAGGAGGTGTAGGAAGGATTTGAATGTGACCAACTTGATCTCGTGTGCTGTTTCGGGTATGAGGGCTGATGTCATTTCTCTGCTGCTCACACCATGGAAGGGTATTTCTTGAGGAACCTGATAAGGAAGTTGGATTAGTGTTGGTCTTAACGACCTGGGAGCGTGACCACAGAGTTCAAGGGACAACTGCTTGAGGATGGTCGCGCGTGGCCTTTTCGTGGAAGGTTTTTAATGTGTTAGCTGTTCTCCAAAGGGCTTTACCGCCGGAGACGGAAATCCGTGAGGTAAGGAGAGGTGTGACATTTTTAGGGTCGACCCTTTCTAACCCAGTGCTTCCTTGTGTGCTAGAATCTATAGGAACGTATGTTTCAGCCAATATAGCTCGGTTGGGTCATCACAATGGGCAAGCCCGGCCACAACGCCAAGGTAGCAGCTACGGTCGGGCAGCATATGACATGGTGCCGTGGCATGAAAGAGCTGTGCAAGACTGACATTTGTTGTTCCTTCATGACTCCCTGGTTGGGGCCCTAGAAGCAGCGCAACAGCGGCTTGAGGCGTCAGAAATGGCTCGAAGTAGAAGCTAGTGGTAGACCTACTTTCTTTTTTAATTTCTTCATATAAGTGAGACGAACTTCTTAGACTCGAGGAATTCTCTCTAGCTGTTTTTCTTGAGTAAACTACTTCTCCCATTGCTTTCTACTCCCATTCATTTACTTTTTTGCTATACTCACCTTCATTTCTATAGCTCCTCATCTAATTTTCTTGTGTGGGACATCGGTGGTCCTATGGTAAAATGCTTGCCTGTCGCGCGGGCAGTCCAAATTTGATTCCCGGCCGACGCACACTTCGTCCCCAAACGCCCTGGAACGGGCGAGGGTGGGAAAAGTCTTCTTTCCCTCTCGAAATGTCCTCACATGGCCACGTGTGTCCAGCTACTCAGTCTTTTCGCGGCGGGTATGGCGTATGAACCAATTGTTGGTCACCGGCTACCATCGGGACTGCATCTCCTTATGATGCTCCACTGCCTTGTGGATGAGACCTTCAGGCTGAAGGCTCCGGGCGTGGCCCCCTAAGAAAACCACCTGCTTCGGTTTGGGAACCCGGGTAGTATCACAGTTCTCACACAAATCAAATGAGATTTGTGTGGCGCATATGTATTTGGTGCCTCCTTGTACCAATATCTATGTGTTAAAATAAATAAAATAAACTTGTATGTGACCGGTAACTAGTGAAAACATAAAGTAATTCACTAAACGATGTAATCAGAACTTAACGTACTTCGTATTTAACTAGTATTTTCAAGATTCCCAGAGTTACTTTCGTAACCCTTCCAAAACTTACAAGAAAGAAGGGATGCTCTTTATGCTGTCACAAGTTGGAGATGTCAGTCTCTTTGTTCTTCTAAGCGTGAATATTATAACTGACTAAATGAATGACAAATGATATGTGCAATATTCAGTGAAATAAGTGGTTATCGACTAACAGTGAGTTTCAAAAACACAGAATATTCATCTGTTTGTGTTTAACAGCTGGATTTATACATAGATTTCTTTCTAGTCAAAGGATATCAACAATGTTTGAAATGTGCTCGTAAATGTTTCATGCCTGATATGATGTAATGAATGCTTCGTTTTGACGATAACTCTAATTCCTCGAGAAACACTTAACTATTAGAGATATCTACTGGACGTTAAACAAATTTGGCAACAAATTATGGAGGTTGTAACTGTCAAATATGAAAGGGTTTCAGGTAAGAATTTTCTGGATACAAATTGGTTCACTAAATTAGCATAGCTTAGAATAATTCGGAGATATGTATTTGCACTAATCCCTCAGCATCCCATTTTTGATTTGGCTCACTGAGTTGTATTTTGCTCACACTTTCATAATTTTGATTTGCAGATACTCAAAAAAGGTAAACGACTTCCCGAGTGACTCAAATGAGTTCACACAGAATCTTAATTTTCTGTTGAGAAACCGTAACCTCGTGTGAATATATTACCTCTGTTTCGTGGTTTTAAAAAAAGAAGGAAGTACTGAAAGGGGAGAACAATTACAACTATTACGTATGGTAGAGTTCTTTGAAAATCCTGTCAAGTAAGGAAGCGATGTTCTCAGGATAACTCTTCAGTTTGCGTTCACGTTCGCAGTTTTCAAGACTACAACTTCGTCAAGTGACAAGAAAATGGTCGCGCAAATGGTACCCACTGAAACGTAAAATGTACAGACTTACATCACTTGAGTCCTTTTTATATTGTGCCAACTGTTTTTCGTACATAGCAAGTCGATTAGGGACTACTGCCATTATATTGAACTTTCCGTCTACACATTTCTCCATACGCTTCATTAGCAACGGACGAGCCGAATCTATCCAAGATGAATTTTCAGGTAGTTTTCCGTGATCAACAGGGCCGGGTTTTAAGCCATCTAATTCGTACAAAGTACCATTAATAGGAACATAACCAACAAAATGGTAAACGTCTTCATTTGACTTAGGGGTCTTCTCATCAAACTCGAATAACTGATAACTAATTACATATTAGCAACACGAAGGAAAATTACTTGCTAAAGCTGTTATGTACGACTCTAATTTGGTCAGAATTGCTTATAGCAGTACCCTTCATCTAGAAAAACTTGTCAGGAAGACATATTTCATACTGTACTGTCAAAGTCTGACACAAAAGACTTGAAATCAGACAACGTTGGACCAATGGGCACTTTGTCATCAATATTTAGCAAGATATTAATAATTGCTTGAGTCGCACAAGCATTTGAAATTGTCTAACAGAAATGTTTGAACAATCATTACGCTACTTGTTTCGCAAAAAATATGCCCCTGTTATTTGCGTCAGTTACCACTTTTCCAATATTATCTTGTTTGTCATCGTAGTTAAATAGGAAAATAAACCCAAGTGCGTCAGACACGTTGCTTGTTTCTGTCAGATCATAAACTTCTTCGCATTCCAAACTTTCCACACCTAGAAACTATATTAAGCAGTGTGCTATGACTAACCGAAACCTCTAATAAGTTCAGTGAATACTCCAGGATCGCTTTCTATTAAACACCAGTTACCACTACTTGACATTGATTGAATTCGGCCTTCAGAATGAATTTCCCTGACACAGAAAAAGTAAAATAAGCTCACTATTTAGTGAGGCATACTGTCATGAACTACCGTTTCCTTCAGATAAAAAGCTCAAAATTTATAGATCAAACTGTTTTGGCACAAAAATTATGTTTATGCGCACTGCATATTCTTGTTATCAGATGTACAAGAGTATCTCACCAACCATGGTATAAGGTCGCTCGACCTGTGATAATGCTTGTAGCTTGTTTCCAAGTTTTCACTGATGGAGTTGATATATATATTTTCCCCTCGTTCATTATCTTACTTCATACTTCATCATGACCGAACAGACACCTAAAGTACTCAAGCTAAAGACTTTGTCCCCGCCTTCGTTTCAACTCATGCCTTTCTGGCCCGACAACATCGAAGCCTGGTTTTGCTACGCAGAAGCCGACTTCTCCGAGCACGGCGTGATCGACACACGTGCACAATTCCTCGCAGTAGTCAAGGCACTACCGCGCGAATTCAACAGGTACGTAACACCTAGTATGTTTACTAGTGATGTTTCCGATCCTTACGAAATCTTAAAACGCTCGATTCTTAAACGAGGAGACCTAACCGATCGACAAAGGTTAGATCAACTCTTCAACAATATCGACTTGCAACACGGTTCTGCGACAGACCTGTTGCAACGGATGAGAGAGGTTATAGGCCCAAGAACTTTCGACGAAGGCCTATTCAAACAACTCTTCTTGTCAAAACTTCCCCAACAGGTGCAAGCAGTTCTGGTCTCGTTCCAGAACAACGCCTTAGACGAGCTAGCTGCATCTGCCGACCGCATATTAGAAATTACGAAATCTACTACCGAGGTATTTTCAGTCAAAGAAAAACCTCAAACAACTCAGAATGATATAAACGACTTATGTCACACACTCACGCGTTATCTTAGTCTTCGTAACGACCGTAAGAGATCGCGCACACCACGTAGAAGCATTTCTCGTAAGCGATCTGTCTCTAGACCACGAGAGACAGATAACCCCGACTGGTGCTGGTATCATAACCAGTATGGAAAGCTTTCCAGAAATTGCAGAAAACCCTGCAATTTTCCCAACACGAAACCGACTGATTCGAAAAGCAATTCGGGAAACTTCCAAGCCGGCACGCGTTAACGGCAACCGTAGCCGGCGAACAAAGCCGTCTGTTATTCGTCACAGATGTGACAACGAGAGTTCGTTACCTCGTCGACACTGGCGCAGAAGTTAGCGTTCTCCCAGCAAATCCTAACGACCGGCTTCAGGAGTCGGCTTTTAACTTACAGGCGGCAAATGGAAAACCGATCGCTACGTATGGCAAAAGGTACGTTTACCTTAACGTGGGTTTACGCAAACCCATCCACTGGATTTTCGTTGTTGCAGATGTTTCTATGCCAATCATTGGTATGGACCTTCTACAACACCACAATCTGATCATCGACACTCGCAAACGGAGGCTAGTAGACGGAAACACTAATTTGTCCGTTTGCGTAACTTCTTTTACTGGTTGTAGAGTATCCCCAGTCACAGTTAAACATATGATAGACCCACTCTATCAACCACTACTCGATAAGTACCCTGAGATACAACAAACTCAAACGAAACTACCGTGTGTAACCAGCAATGTTACACATCACATCACGACTACAGGACCACCTGTATTTTCTAAAGCACGCCGACTAGCTCCTGAAAAGCTAAGGTTAGCGAAAAACGAATTCGATCACATGATGGACTTAGGAATCATACGACCGTCAAGTAGCCCATATGCATCTCCGTTGCACATGGTCCCTAAAAAGGACAGCAACGATTGGCGTCCAACTGGTGACTATCGGCGATTGAACGCGAAAACCATTCCCGATCGTTACCCGTTGCCTCACATTCACGATTTGACAGCTACCTTGAAAGGTACAACTGTCTTTTCGAAAATCGACTTGGTTAAATCGTATAACCAAATCCCTATGGCTACTGACGACATACCGAAAACGGCTATCGTAACTCCCTTCGGACTCTATGAATTTTTGCGAATGCCTTTCGGTCTAAGGAATGCTGCTCAAACATTCCAAAGATTCATAGACGACGTTTTTCGAGGTCTCAACTTCGTACACGCGTATGTTGACGACTGTCTAATCGCAAGTCCGGACAGAGAAACACATCTCAAGCATCTGGATCTTGTTTTCGAACGACTTCAAAAACATGGCATAACTGTAAACGTTCAGAAATGCCAATTCGGAACCAACTCGTTAGACTTCCTAGGACACACTATCGATGCTCAAGGCATTCGACCTCTTAGGACCAAAGTGGCCGCCATTCTGGATTACCCAGAACCGACCACCGTCAAGCAATTACGCACGTTTAACGGCCTGGTAAGTTTCTATAGACGTTTCATACCCAAATGCGCAATACTTATGAAACCTCTGACCGACCAACTTCGTGGAAATGCGAAATCCATTGATTTGGACGACACCGCACGAAAAGCATTCTCCACAGTTAAGGAACTGATTGCTAAAGCAACAATGCTCGCACATCAGGACACCCGAGCACCCATTAGCATCGCAGTAGACGCATCCGACTCAGCAATCGGAGGAGTCTTACAACAATGGGTTAACAACTCCTGGCAACCCTTGGCATTTTTCTCTAGAAGGTTGCTAGACACCGAATCGAGGTACAGCACATTCGATAGGGAACTCCTAACTGTGTATTGTGCTGTACGGCATTTCCAACACTACATCGAAGGTCGTGAATTCACTCTTTTCACGGACCATAAACCGCTCACTTTCTCGTTAAGCTCTCCTTCTGACAAGTACTCTCCCCGTGAGTCTCGACAAATGGACTACATTTCGCAGTTTACTTCAGATATTCAACACATCTCTGGAGCAAACAATGTAGTTGCAGACGCTTTATCTCGTATAACTTCCTTGAACAGTTTCCAAGGAATCGACCTTCTTAAACTCGCCGAGCTTCAAAAAGAAGACAGTGATCTTCAGCACGAGTTATCGTCCACAACACTTAAACTACGCATCAAACAGATGGGAACAGGTAAGGAAACCTTACTTTGTGACACATCTACAGGTAGGGATCGCCCAATCGTGCCGAAACATTATCGACGCAATGTCTTCAACACATTGCACAAACTTTCGCATCCAGGTGTTCGTGCAACCATCAAGCTTATAGCAGAACGGTTTTGCTGGCCTGGAATGAATAAAGACGTGAGGGAGTGGGCACGCTCCTGTGTAAGCTGCCAAAAATCTAAGGTTATCAGACACAATAAATATCCCTTAGGCTCGTTTAAAACTCCCGATGCTCGTTTCGACCATGTTCATCTGGATTTGGTAGGACCTTTACCAGATTCAAATGGATACTCTTATCTCTTAACCTGCGTAGACCGTTTCACTCGATGGCCAGAAGCAGTACCTATCAAGGACATCACTGCTGAAACAGTGGCTCGCACCTTTGTCGAACGATGGGTAGCAAACTTCGGCTGCCCTTCAACCATCACTACAGACCGCGGACGTCAATTTGAATCTGATCTTTTCCGTCGTCTGACCACTCTTTTAGGAAGCACTCGCTTCCGAACGACCGCCTACCATCCACAAGCAAACGGGTTGGTAGAACGTTTTCACCGACAACTGAAAGCTTCGCTATCAGCTACAAACGTTTCACAGTGGACCGACGCTCTTCCACTCGTCTTACTAGGTATCCGCAATGCAGTGAAAGCTGACATTGGATACACTGCGTCTCAACTCGTTTATGGTACGACACTTCGACTTCCAGGAGAATTCGTGGATCCTTCATCCTCTTCAATGAACATGGATCTAACCTCCTACACGAACAGGCTTACAAACGCAATGCGTTCAGTTAAACCTGCTTCCACCCGACCTCAATCAACTGATGTTTTCGTTCAACCTGACTTACGATATAGTACACACGTTTTCGTTCGTCGAGACTCGCATCGACGACCCTTCGAATCAGCATACGAAGGACCCTTCAAAGTTCTTCAACGTGAATCTAAGTACTATATAGTCGATAAGAACGGAACCAACGATAGCATCAGTATCGATCGCTTAAAAGCAGCGTATTTAGAAGGAAATCCTATCTACGTGGATTTTCCTTCGGTACAATTGAACGACACGACTCCGACACTTATAATACCTCATCCGACAACCAACACACACGATGATACTTCGACAGTATCCGAAAATAAACTTAAAACGACGCGTTCTGGAAGAAGGGTGAGATTTCCAGAACATCTAAACGACTATTGCACGTAAGGCACTTCTCGACATTTTATATTATTTTTAAAAAAAAATTTTAATATGCTTATATATTTTTATTTCTATTTAAAAAAAAACAAAACAAAAAAACAATTTTTTAACGCTATTACGTGTTCATGAGTTTATTTTCCATTTTTTTTCCGCCGACATTGTGCTTTTACGCACATACGAGTGTATTTCGACATGCACTTATATTTTCTTTTTTCTTTTCCAGGACGGCTGGAAAAGAACGATGACGTTTATGAGGATCCGAAATTTTCCATGTACATTTTCTTTTTTTACTATGTTGTACCTCCGTCCCATATAGTAAGGAAAGACGACCAGACGCTGCTAAATTTAGTAAGCTATCAGAAGAGTGTTTACCAACGACAAACTCGTTGGGTTTAAACTTCTGGCTGGCCACGTCTTAGGGTCGTCACTGCCCCACTAGGAGGGAGTGATCTGTAGCGGTAAATAAATCCCCAAAATAAATAGCACTAAGTTTTCGACATTGGATGCTGACCATATGTTTTAGTGGACTCATCTAGCTGAAGGCGCTCGGTCAGTCATCCGCACCAGATCACGTGTGGTAACGCCGTGCTCGACATCAACCGCAATCGCTAGCCAGATTAGATCAGAGAATTCCGATATATTGGTCATCGCCAAATACACTCTTCCGATCTCCTCGACTCTGTCTTTTGATTTCTCTGGGCGGGAACGAAATATATTAGAAGGT